TCTCTTGTTCTCCACAAGAGCGTGTCTCAGGACATGAGCTTAAATTTACACAAAGCTGTGAGTTTCTGACAGTACAAAACATTCATTTTACATCAAAGTAAAAGGCAAAAGCACTCTGATTTTAGGTTTCCCTGCCGTTCTTCCCCAGAAACATCACAGCTATAGGACAGATTAGATTATACTTGAAGTGTTTGTGCCTTAAATTTATAACAATGGATAATACTAATACTGAACTTCAATTTGATTTGTACTAAATGCATAACAAAAAAATGTACAACTACAAAGAATCTGTATAGAATAACCGAACTATCTAAATCTGTGTTTCTGAATTTGTATTTTTGTAATACTTTTATATCTTACACGTGAATTATACTTCTGCATCAGATCTACATCATAACTTGCGGCATAACCGGAACCCCATTTTAGTCCTGCTACATAACCTGATGTGCACCTCCTGAAAAATACAACTACATGTTGGGTCAACGTATACCTCAACCACTGCAATGGTGTGGAAGGTTTAGGTGTGGGTATATAAGTTTCCAGTTACCACGCAAGTTAGGATGTGCATTTCTGGCAGAAGTCTAAAGCTGTAGACCCCAATCACACAATTCTAGAGAGACCAGTCAGTGAACATCTGGCAACATGTGGCTAGAAAGGGAAAAATGTGTGTTCCATAGCAGGTTGCCAGTGATTGCTGGAGTTTAATGGCTGTCCCAAGTCCCAGTCACACAAGCCTAGAGATCTGTGTGATCAGTGACCCCCTGGTACCCAGCAGAAAATGCTGACTTGTGTGGAAACACTTACATTATTTACCAAATTGTAATGAAACTGAAAAGTGCGAACTGGCAATGGTGAATGTAGAAGAAGCTGCACATCGAGAAATGTGTTGCTTTCAGCTGTAATGCACAGCTTTTGCTTTGAAGGTTAAATTCTTCATTTTTCAGTTTGCATCTTTCTTCTTTTTTTTTTTATTATTATTATTATTATTATTTTGGTTTTATTACAGCTTGGAGCATAAATAACAAGTTTTTGTGTATAAATTAGCATCTTCCATGCAAACTACAGGCAGTCACAGCAATCCACCTGGGGGAAAAAAGCAGGTTTGTAGTGCAGCACCTTCTTTGCAACCAATTTCTGGAAATGGCCACTTGCAGGCATCGTCGAAAACACATTTTTCTATGGCAACGGGGGGGGTTGCCAGGGTTGCCGACCAGTTTCTAGGCCTGTATGGCTGAGGCCTTAATGTGAATCTGTAAAAAAAATGCAGCAATATTTATGCTGCATATTACTTTGTACCCTCACCGCTGTCTCCTGTGCTTCCTCTACAACAGAAATGCCTGGAGGATCTGCACAGCAGAGTGCAGCGGATCTGCTCAAAGGCTGTTGAAGAAGACGAGGCTGCCATTCAGAAGCTCCAGGAAACTCTTAAGGACTTCATGTCCAAGGCAAAAAATGTATAAAGGTGGCATGAAGATGGCAAGCAGAGATGATTATAAGTGTTTGGATTTCCTGTTATTTGTATTTTCAGAGTGTTCAGATCTTAGGACAACAGAGAAATGGAGTTATTCATTTGGACTTGACGAACTTGACAAAGAATATAAAATGGGTTAACACATTTTTACAAATTTGAATGATTAAATAAAGATTCCAAGTTATTGTGGTTTTTTGTTTTTTTCTCTCAGTAGTTATCCATGTTTGTGTATTACCATATGTTTGCGTGTTCTGTCTTTCTATATAAATGTTATGTACACAGTCAAGCTTAATTGAAACCCCTAACTTTTTTTATTGTTGTAGTTTGTTTGTTGAGGGTTTTTTGTTTTTTTTTAAAACGGTAATTGACTATTTTTAGATAATTATCGTAGAACCTACCAAAAGGAGAAAAATGTCTTCCATCTCATTTGTAACACCGCCTGATCAGCATTCCAGACTGATCAGTTGTCTCGCTTCATGTGTGACTGCATCGCGTTGTTTCCGGTCTCGCACATTGAGATAATGTCCTGTGTTATGATTGGCTATAATTTATCAAAGACAACCTGCTTGAGTCCTACAACAAAGTTGTGGCTCAAGAGATGTGATGATTTGTGAATGCATCCCTGCTGAAACTACAGAGCAGCAGCTAAAATAACAATTGACATTTTTAAATAGTTGGGATCGGGCGGGGGGGGTTACATAGATTTGCGATACTGCAAATAAACTTTTAGCTCTTAAGTTATATTTGATATAATAAAAGATGAAAATTGAAAAGAAATGTAGCGCTTGTCCTGTGCTGAATCTGTAATCGACATGTAGAATTTTAGTCCTCATTGCGATCATGTACCTCAGAACTTATGTTGTATTGAAGCCACTAGATGGCAGCACACACCAGCTGCTCAAATGTTTCAAGTTGCTTCTCGCCTGACTGAAAAAGGAGATCACTAAAACAATGATGATTTTATATAATGGTGGAAAAACTGAATTTATTACCTCCATATTCTAGTGCGCTTCAGAAACCCTGACAGCAGATTTACTTTTGAGTTCTCTCTGTCTTTGTGTAAAGGCAATTTCTTCAATACAAATCTAAGTAATGTTAAGTCTTTATCGATTTTTTTTGGTTAATATGGATAAGATAAGGAAATGAGCATGCGTACTCTGTTTATTTGGATGCATTTCTATTTTACAAACCTTTTAAAGCGGTGAATTTCCAGTCAGATATCGGATCAGGAAATAATTAGTTAATGGACAAACATCAGGAATAGTTTCCATTTGTGTCAGACTCATTTATTCTATCTTTTACCGAGCACATTAATGTATTTAGGTTCCACATTATCAGCCAAAGCCAAAACTGACTGAATCATTAGTTAATGAAACGTTTGTTATTGAAGTGAACATTTTCTGCTCTTCTGGCAGAAGCATTTATTGCAAATGCTGAAGCAAAGTTGGCAGTGAGGACACAAACAGGAAGTGGTACATATCTCTCTTCACTGCTTTCTCCAGAAATGGTCAGCATAGCTTAATGTACCTGTTTCCAATTAACTACATACTTGGCATCCAAATATTACTTTTATTTTTTTTGCATCGATACTTAGTCCAGATATTAAATCCAGATACCCTGTGGCAATCTGCATACTTCAAACTGCAATTCTGGTTTACTTTAGGTTTTGAAAACACTTTTTCTATGGTGTAATATCGCTCGCGATCCAGGATTTGTCAAACTGTCTCAAAGCTTTAGCGTTTACAGACTCAAAGGATCCTTCTAAAATAAAGATGTCTGTTTTTCTGATTCACTCTCCCTTGCTGCACATGTTGGTGTTGATTTATGATTTCACACACGCACATCTTTTTCCAGTTCTCATGTTGTTGTGAAACCAAAGCTGCATGTGTTGTTCCTGGTTTGTGGGTGTCTTAGTGAAAAACTTTAATGGTTCTGTAGCTGCTGAAAAAAGGAGGTGGCATCTGTGTGTGTTACTTTTGGACTTGTTGCTCTAATTCTGAGTGATGGCTAGTTCATCAAAAAAAAATCACAAATTAAAACAATGGTTTGTTGCAATCGCCCAAAAATTCACCACCCTTTAGCAGCACAGATGTCTGAAGTATCATCCACGGAATTTGGGGTGACGCCGAACCCTGAAACTCCACATCGTGTCAATACAGTAAAGTCAGAGGTGGGGTTTTTGTAGAAGGGAACGTTTGAAAACCTTCAGCACAGCAAGCGTGAGAGAAATGTTTTGGCAGATGTGATAAGAAGAGATGAGGTGATTGTGAGGGGCTCCATGGAGAGAGGGAATGAAAAATGTGATGGATAACTTCCACTGCTTGCAGAAACAATCCCAAACTGAGCGTGTGTGTGTGTGTGTGTTGGGTGGGGCGAGGTAGTGGAGAGAAAGTCACAGAGGCTTAATTCAACTAAACATGAAAGGCCTCGGTGTGTTTATCTGATCCCATACGGACAGGTGGCATCCATAAAAGCCATTTTACAGGACTCGTCTTAGCATGTGTGAGAGAATGAATGTCATGACTTGTGTATCTTTCTACCCCTGGAGGGATGTACGCGGTGGCCCAAATGTGTGTGCGTATGACTCGGCGCGTGGGAATTTGCGTGCTTCTCTCTCTGCAAAAACCTGTGCTCTGTGTTTGTTTTCATGCTTCTTTATGCGTTGTGTGGCGCTTTCGTGAGTATGCGTGTGCATCCATGTTTACTCCTTTACTGGCTGTGGCTCTCAGCCTGTGTCGACCTATTTTCTATCGTGGATTGTTGCAGTCAAAGATGCAAATCCCCCATGAATTCTTAATACACTGTTTGCCCTGGCTCTCACACAGGGGAAGTCAATGTAACCTGGGTTGAGTGCTAAAGCTCAACATTGTCTGTCTCAGTGAGAGTGTGTTTGTGTCTAGCTCACAGGGCCTGTGATTTTGGGAGACATGTTAGAAGGATTGCATACGATGGTGTGGAAATACAAAGGTTATCCTGGTGTTTCCTATAGAAGGTGTGTGTTGTTACTTCGCAAGTCGTACAAGACTTCCAGCAGGTAATTCATCATACCAGAGACTTGGAGATGGAGCAGAGCACTGAGGTGTTAATGTGGAGTGTTATTAGGGGTTACTCTCATCCATCCGCCACTAGTATGATCTGTTCTACAGATGTGGGGAAATGGGTGCTGAGAAAAGGGGAAAAGAAAGAAAGAAGCATGCTCTGCCTTAAAACGCAGGCAAGCTTGCCCTTCTTTTCTTTCTCCCTGCTCCCTGTCAAAACACCATTGTTGTAGCTGAAATCTGTCTTCCTTAGACCTATATTATGACTAGCTCTGGCATTTTGATTTCTGTTCCAGCGGCTAATTGTCTCCAGATTTAGTAGACAAATCAACTTCTGCTATATATGTGTGGCAGACGTATGCAGTAGTGATGCAGAGGGGGAAGACAAACTTTACCTTCTATCTTCAGTTTCTAATAACAATAACACAACCAGTTTCAGAAATAATTACATGAGCTTTTGTTGGTGTGAAGTGTAGTGCGTGAGATAATTTCCTTTTACAAACTGCTTCTTTGAGCAGTTTTGTAATGTGCTTGAAATGCTGAAAGATATAAAGCAGGAGGGCCGTGGTTAAGGTTAGTTTATTCTTAGCATCCTGGAGAATGATTAATGTCTTGTCTACGTGAATTTGAAATTAATTATAGACGGGAACTTACTGGCAGACACAGAAGTAATGTAGATTATGCTGCTTTGCGTACAAAATGTTTTTGGGCGGACAGGTGTGCTGCATTTTCATCTGGAGTGTAGTTTTCCAACTCTGGAAAACCTCTGGCCAATTTTTATTTGAAGTATTTCACTGTGCTGCTCCTAATTTGTCTGTGGTTTTTAACAAGATTTTTTTCATATTGTAGTTTCTATTGACTTGTATCCTTATTGCAAGTAATCACAGGGATGAAAATTATTTCCATCAAAGCACAGACACACACACGCACACATACACGCGCTGTCATGTTTTCATATCTTAGTGGGGACATGTAATTGTCTAATTGACGTAATGCTTTCCCTATCTGCTTACCCTAACCCTAAAAATCAAAAATGAATGCCTAACCCCGACCCTTAGTCTAAACCTAACCATAACCCAATTGTAACCCTGACACTAAAACCACATTTTGAGTCTCAAAAATGTTTTCAAACTCGTGGCGGCAGGCATTTTGTCCCCATAAGGGTATCGCAAGTATACAAAGTATCGACCAGAATAGTCTAAAGCAGGGATGTCAAACAGAAGGTCCAGGGGCCAGAATTGGCCCAACAAACACCCCAATCTGGTCCAGTGGACGGCTCTAGAAAATGTGCGTACAACTTTTCCTACGCCCTTTCTGGGATAGTGTACCAGTTAAACACATCACAAACCTCAAATCTTGAGCATGACAGTGAGAGAATGGCAATAGAATCCATCATATCAGTCCAAAAGATTCATTTTGGGATGCGGTGGAGTGGGAGATTAACATCACGGATGTGTGATGCGTGATGCCATCATATTAATATCTCTGAGGAATGTTTCATACTTGTTGAGTTTAGCTCTGCTTCTCAAACAGTGAAAACTGTTACATAATTGCTCTCTGCTGTTGTGCTGGAGGACTTTGGCAAGTCAGAGAAAATGACCCTGGTGATATCATGTATTACACAGTAAAGCGTTGAGTTTGGAAGATGTGGGAATTTACCAGTCAGGGTGGATCTATTAAAAAGATGATGGGAACCGTAGATCCAGTGTTTTTGTAGGATGAGTCATTGTATGGATTAAAACAGTTTTGTGATTCAACTACATTTATGGAAATGCGACGCAATCTTGCTGCTGTACCTGATTAACAAAACCTTTAACTAAGCTTGCTCTTCAACAGTGACGAAGTCTTTTATAGTTGGGTGAATGGTGGGTGGTGGGAGAGCTGTGTAGAGCAGCAGGGCTTCACTCAGCCTGTCATGATAGGAGGAGACGGCTCCATGTGCACGTGTGAGGGCGCTTCCTTCTTGTTACGGTTCTCTTGACGACAGCGTGCCGTGGCGACAATACGGCAGCTTCCTGTGTGACTTGACTGTGTGACGACAGATCCCCGTGTGTTCAGCCTCAGTGTGAAGTGCTACAATCAGGATATCTTTCGTTGTATAATAGATTCAGTGAGTGACCAGCTTAGACGCAGCAGGTTTTTCCATT